GGCACAGACAGATGGGCTGACACGCCTTGGGTGCCCTCTTCTGCTGTACACAGTCGCAGAATGGTCTGCGAGAAGGCGAGCTGTTTGGCTGTTGAGGAGAGTCACGATGGGAATCCTGGGCACTCGTCCGATCACTTTGACCATTCCGGTCCTTGCCCATGAAGGTCACCGAGTCGCTGTAGAAGGACGTCTGAGATGGCTTGGTGGTGAGGCGATGCGGTTGGTAGTCTCTAAGGTAGCTCTTGTACCTCAACGCCAGTACCTTCCCTCCATCACGATCATCCAGCTCCCGGCGAACTTGGTGGGCGCACTCTGCTTCGGCCCACCCTGGAGACACGGAAAGAATTGCCCGAAGGAATTGAACATTTTGATCTGCGGCTTCTTTAAGCTGAGGAATCCCGTGCTTCTCAACTTCGATACAGAGTAGGATGAAGTCGTCAACCCACTTCTCATGGTCCATCTTCTTGATCATCGCCATATGCTCCTCCCAGCGCTGGCGAATGTATTGTTTCTGTCCCATGTCGGAAGGGGCGAAGTGGTCCTTCAACGCCTTGAGCCACTCCTGGCTGCTTTCCTCGTTCATGAAGACGGCCGAAAGGCTCCTGTCGACTGTGTTGAGGATGTATTTCTGGACCTCCTGGAGGCCCGCTGACTCCCTGTTGTAGATGTCCAAATGGATCTTGTACAACGTCAGCAGTGTGCTGAGATCTCGCGTCTCATCTTCGAATGACGGTGCTATTGGCTTCTTGGCCCTCTTGGGCCGCCTGTTAGCCTCTTTGTCTGGGTCGACTAGATCCCAGGCCTCGTAGGAGGTCGCCACGGCTCTGACTGAGTTGAGCCATGTCCTCCATTCCTCCCTCCTTGTAAGTGTCACTCTGTGCTTACCAGAGTCCATCTTGAGGCTCCCTGGGCGTTGTCGGAGACCGTCGGGGAGGTCGTTCGATGGTCGCGACTGATCGCGTGTATGTTGAATATCATCAATTGACCCCGCGTGTACTCAAGCCCTAGGCCACACGTCTCGGAGGTTCAATTGGTCTTGAGGAGCTGATTTCTCCTGCTTCGATGTGTCGTGGAGAGATGATCGCTCTCCTGGAGGATGTCGGTAACGGCCCTTGGCCAGTGGTCGTCAATGGCGAAACGTCGCGTCAATTGACTGTTGAAGTGCAGCGGCGATTCAGCTGTAGACAGCTTCGCAGCAGGCGTATTGGCCGTAGGCGCCCTGCTGTAGATATCGAAGGTCAAGGAGCTGTATCGTCGCCCGGGCTCATAACTGTCACCACGGAATTGAACAAAGTGGATTGATTGTTGTTAAGGTACAAAAGGAGACTTCCAGAAGTCCAAACGAAGGTAATTGGTCAGATCCAGCATCGGTAAGGAGTCTTACCGGGGCGATAACGACAGAACAAATGCATCAAATGAGGACTCCACATTTGGGATGAAAGTACTCCTGGGTCACAGAACAGAACCTTGCCTGATCGGCAACAGGTACCTTGTGGCAATAAGCATCCATATCCGACCCGATTAGCGAATAGGACGAAAGGCGAGTCGCCCGAATAATCATGTCCTCGCTTTTGGCACCCACCAACAACCCGTTTGGAATCCTTTTTCATCAGCTTTCATCAATCGCCCGACTCAAACAGCATCATCATTGCCACGAGTGCCGAGCCATGGCGCAGTCGTTTTTTTTGCGCCCCATGCCAGCCTGATAGGGGGTTTACATGTCTGATCCTCCTTGAGCTCCAGGGATCCAGTTGGTTGACCTCCAGCTAAGGTAGCAAGCAATATCACGGCATCCTCGCAATGAAAGCATTTGTGTTTATCTCTGGACTCTGTTGAACCCTCTATTTGGTTTGCCATAGCCTCATGACCATCTTTCACCTAGTCCACCACCATGTCAAGGGCAGGGGCTACTTCGCTGCAGTCACTCGAGCCTCCTTTTCCCTCCTCCACTTGGGCCCATACCGCACAATGACCCACAACGCCGGCGACAGGACAGCACACAGCAGGGCCAGAAAGGTAAAGGACCACCCCCTCCCCATGCCCATGATCATGTACTCGATCGACGCCGTCCCCGCAGCACCCATCAGACAGCGCACAAGGTTGTTGGCCGCCGTGGCCGTGGCCGGCGCCTTGGGGTTCAGATCGACGATCAGCGTGTTCATGACGCCGAACGACCCCGTGATGGTCAGGCCGATGAGGAACTGCAGCACCAGCGGCACGGCGACGCTCGTCTCGAGGTGGAGGACCCAGCCGTAGACGGCGAGGACGGCGAGGCCGGCGGCCAGCGTCGGGAAGACGGGCTGCAGGCGGGCGCGCTCGATGGGGAAGTGGGTCAGGTCGTCGCCGCGCTTGCGGTCGATGGCGAAGCCGACGCGGCGGGCCGTGCGGCGGTAGTTCCAGTCGAGGATGTAGCCCTGGGCGACCGAGGCGATGCAGCAGCCGGCGCCGTAGGGGAGGTAGCAGAGGCCGAGCTCGAGGTCGGAGAAGCCGTAGATGCGCTTGAAGAGGGTGCCGAGCGTGGCTGAGACGTCGATGAAGGCCACGTAGAGGATGCTGTTGTAGAAGAGGATGAGCGCCATCTCGCGGTCGAAGATGATGCGCACGGCGCGCAGGGGGTTGGGGAGCCGGAGCCGGGGCCGGGGCGGGTCCGTCGGCTGGCGGGGCGTGCCGCGCGTGCGTAGCGTGTCGAGGAGGGTCTTGTTCCAGCCCTGTGGCGCAATGGACCCGTTGCCGACGACGTTGCGGCATGTCTCGGGGACGACGAGGGCAAAGGGGACGAGCCAGACAACGGAGAGGATGGCGCAGAACCAGAAGATGGCGGACCAGCCGAGGAACTCGGTCAGGACGCCGCCGAGGATGGGGCCGAGGGTAGGGCCGATGTTGATGCCGGCGCCGACGATGCCCATGTACTTGCCGCGCTCGGAAGAGGTGGTGATATCGGCGACCATGGCAAAGCCGAGGGCGATGGCGCCGCTGCTGCCGCCAGACTGCACCATGCGGAGGACCAGTAGGGCGACATAGTTGCGCTGCAAGGCGAGACCAATGTTGGCACAGAGGTAGATGGCGAAGGCAATGAGGTACGCCGGGCGGCGACCGGCCATGTCACCGAAATCGCCAAAAATGGTCGGGGAAATGGCCTGGAGTATCATGTAGGAGGTCACCGTCAGGTTGATCAGTGCGATGGTGACGTCAAGGTCTCGAGCAATGGGCTCCAGAACGGGATAGTAGATGTTGGCGGTCATGGGGGAGACGAAACTCGCAACGGACACCATGAAAGTAATCCATTTCTTGGTGCGCGGATTGAAGGTGCTGTAGGCCGGTCCGCTGGGAACGCGGGCGACCGTTTCGGCGTCCTCGATGGGAGGTTCATCGTGGGTGACGGCAGCCGTGGTGGTCATGATGGCTGCGATGACGATAAGGCATGCAATCCACTGGGGCCATACCGCTTTTATATGATCAATCTGGCACTGCGATGCTTGGAAAAGCAGCTAGGCTTATCGCCGTGCCGGCTGGCCGGAAATACAATGTCACCGCTGGGAAAAGCCTGCGTGGGTACTCCACTGATGGCCATTTACAGAGGAGAGGTCCACCCTGTCCCCGGAACTATATGAAGTACGCCGATGTCGTTCGTATATGATCCAGTATCGTGTTTGTAAGTACAAAAAGTGATGCATTTATGAGCCCTGATTGCGATAGCATAGGCCCATATCAAGACACTTTTCATGTTGCCAGGTCGAGGTTGTCAATCAACAAACATTAGAGCCTATTTCGAAAAAGCTAGTTTCACTCAAGGCGCCATAGTCAGATCACAGTATTTAGTATAGTTTTGCGCGGACCCTGTTCGACCCGAGTTTGTGAGACTTGCGACATTAGACGTTGGCCTGTCATTGAGAATACTGACGCAGTGTCAATATTGATGTTGCATCCAGCATTTTGTAGACGAATGGACGTTGAGTTGAGCTGCCAAGGTTTCAATGGCCTGCATCTTTACCTTTGATCAGGTTGACTTCACGAGAGTATTCACCTTTCTCCGCATTGAAGCTAGGTTCATCACATGGAACAGAGTAATAGTCGTAAGCAGATCCCAAGCACATACTCACAGCATAGAAGTGAGTGCCATCAAATGAGCAATGGAAAATAAATCAGTTGCACAAGACATCGCATTTTGACATTTTTCACTTCACATCTCGCCCTCTTAATTTAAAGGTGTAGAAACTGAACGATTCGAGCAAAGCTGCAGGCGCGCCCTGACATATTTTAGGATCTATGGAGCCAGTTTTCACCTCTCGACATAAGAATGGTGACTTGTCTGAATCGCTCACTGCCGAACCTCGTCGACTGCTGGATGTCCACTTCTGGCGGCTGCCCGATATCGGCCGGCGCAAAGCGTGGCACGCCGGATGGTCGGCCGGATGCTTTTGGAGCGATCCACACGGGATCAATGCGGCGCTCCATGCTGGTTCTCCGCTCCTACCTAGCTTTCTGTGTTCCCCAAGTCCGCGTGGCCAGAGTGAGATTCGATCCAACGATGAATAACAGAAACTGTAGAGTTCCGAGCTTGACAAAATTGCGGCAAAAGGCAGATGCAGTGCAGCTGACTCATGTCCATGTACCTGCTCTGGCCCTGAGGATATGGAATTCACTGATGATTGATTTCCATCCAGCAGCTACGTTGAAAGCTAGCTCTCTGCGATGATGAAGTGCCCTATGTCTGGGAATAAGAATTTTGATACGAATGCATAAATTTGACTGTCGATTTGGTAGAATGAGAATGCCATTCCAACGTCTTGACGAGCGTGGTCTGTGCACCACTGCACCGCCTCGCTGTGGCTTGCTGCTCCAATCAATGCAGACACGTCATTGGGAACAGCTCTCGCTCTCCACAACGTTGATGCCCGCCCTGGAGCTTGATTTCACAGGTAGAAGCTCGCCCAAGTTGCATCCTCAGACACGCACCTTGTTACCAGCTCTCGCACGCCAGGCCGGCCCCATCCCCGACAATGGCAGACCTCACTCCCGCCTTCAACGAGCTGCTGGCCAAGCACAGCGCTCCATCCACCCGCAAAAAGTTCAGCCTAGAGGACATTGACGGCTTCCTCAAGGAGGCCTACAGAATCGTCAGTCAGCCCCTCCCCTTCTTCGCCATTTCCCAGCCGCCAGACCACTACTGACCCGGACCCCAGAACTCCCACATCACGACCCTCCACAATGAGCTCAAAGACGTCCGCCAATCGTACCTCTCGACAGCCCAGCCGCGCAAGACACACATTCGCGCCCCGACGACGACGACGACGACCGCCCCGCAGCAGCAGCAGCAGCAGCAGCAGCAGCAGCAGCAGCAACAGCTACCTCACCGACCGCGACCGCGAGGACGTCGACGCCACGCCAAGCAGATGTTTCTGCGAGCTGAACGTTTGCTTTTGCGCCCTCGAGGAAGCC